GTGGCCTTGGAGAAGTCACTTACCTTCTCCAAGCCTCCATTAACCCACCCACAAAGGGGGATAATTATACCTTCACTGCCTTACCTCTCAGGTTTATGGGGGGAATCTGATGGGATGATGAACAGAAAATCCCTTCGTAGGAAAAATATAAGGGACTTTGATTCTAGTCCAGGTGTGAGCCCGATGATAAGGGCCAGGGGGATGAAAAACTCTCTAATGAAAGAATTCCTCTGTCCTTCCCTACCTCTTTTCCCTCTATAGAAATGCTGGAATCCCTCCAAGAAGGGCTGGAAAAATCCAGAGATCCCAGAGAAAACAGGGGTCACAAAAGGAACGCTAGACATCTGGGTCTTTCTGGACATTTGGGAAGGCTGGGCCCCCCCAGAGACAGCTCCTCCATCTCTCAGAGAGGCAGGAAGCCACACGGGAATGATCTGTATCCACATGGAGGGGGAGGCTGGGGAGCAGCCTGGATTGCCAGAGCCAGCATTTCAGAGCCCTGCTATCAGAGGAGCAATGGGTAGGCAAGGGCGGTGGGGGGAGGGGGCATTCTCCTTGTTGAGTCTCCCACACTTTCATCCCTCCTGCAGGAGATGACGACGCAGCCACCTTCCTGTGACAACGGCACCTGTGTCATTTTCCTTCTCTGAACCTCGGCTTCCTCATCTATAAAATGGTGTGATAAAGCCTCTGATACACTGAGTCCAGCTGAACAAATATGGCTGCCATTCTTCCATCCTTTGAAACCAAGGAGGTTCCCAGGGCTAACAATGCCCTCATTCCCCAGTTTTGAGTTACTGGAAGAAAAATCTGAAGGCACTTCCAGGACAGAGCCCAGGCTCTGAGGGCAATGTCCATCTTCCGACAAGGTGGATGAGATTAGCTGTGTGTGGTGGGGGAAGTGGAGAAGAGAAGGGGCCCTCTCTGTGGGCTAGAGGTACATGCTTCAGCCTGCTGCCTGGGGAGGGGATGGGAAATACCACCATTGGCCAAGGCTGTTAGAAACCATCCTGCAAGGAAGGAAGGAAGGAAGGAAGGAGGGAAGGAAGGAGGGAAGGAAGGAGGGAGGGAGGGAGGGATGGCAGGCGGGAGGGGAGGGGAGGGGAGGGGAGGGGAGGGAAGGGAAGGGAAGGGAAGGAAGACCACCCTGCTTCCATGAGCTCTGTGCTGTTTGGAGGAGAGGCTGATGGGACAGTGGACCACAGGGGGGCACTTTCCCCACCCTTCACCAGCAGGAGGAGATGAATGAAGGACTGACACCTGTTGGTGCCCAGGTGCCCTTTGTCCACCGCCCACTGGGGCCTGCCCTCCTTGCGTCTGGGAGAAAAGCTGAAGGCACCGGGCACCTGTGTGTAGCAGGTAGAGATAATCAAATCTCTTTGCATCTCTGAAGAGAAGAGCATGGAAGGAGAGGCTGCGTCTGTGAAGCCTGAAAGACAGCTGACCACCCTCCTCCCCCCACTCTTTAGTTCTGGCCAAACTGAACGGCTCCTGCTTCTCCCTTCCATGCCTTTCCTCAGGCACCTCCCTCCTCCTAGAGAGCCTTCCTGTCCAAACCCAGCCCCTTCAAGGCCTAGGTAAAATGTCCCCTCTTCCAGGAAGCACATGTTCACTGCCATGCCTATGCACCCCCTTTCCTGCACTCTCTCCTCTGAGCATCAGTTGTACTTTTCCCGTCCCTCTCTGACGGCAATTTGCACTGTTGACTATGTCACAGCCACACCTCCACACATTTATTTCCCCTCTGGGGGACACAGGTGACTGTAGTGGTTCCTAGCACAAGCTTTGGAGCGAGGCAGACCTGAACTCTAACACCAGGTTTTGCCATTTATTAGCCATCTGACCATGGGAAAGTCACTTACCTGTCTGAGCTTCAGTGTCCTCTGGAAAATGGGCACAATAATAGTACCTACCCCATAGGGTTGTTGTTGCAATTAAGTGAGCTAATGCACACTAAGGATTCAGCATAGAGCCTGGCACAAAGTGAGAGCTTGGTAATGGAATTTATTTGTTACGGTTCCCAGATGATTGTTCTTTATGTCAGCCACAGAGCCACCCGCTGGATGGATGGATTTATACGGAGGCAGATCTGCAGGCAACAGGCAGAGCAGTGGAACCTGGGAGGGGCTGCCTCTGCAGGTCATGAGCTCCATGCCATCGGATACAGGACAGCCACTGGAATGCCCAACCGAGGCAAACACATATGGGCACAGAGATGGGTTCTGAAGCCGGACTCCTGGCCTCCGCTCACTCAGTGTGTGACCTTCACTAACTGTGCCTCAGTTCCCCATCTATGCAATGGGGATAGTAACAGTACCCACCCAAAAGACATGGGTGAGTACTATTTAATGAGGATTAAATGAAATAATACACATAAAGCAATAGAACACACTCAGCACAGGGAGAGTAATTCAATAAACATGACCTATGATTATCATTGTTGGTGTTTGTATTACTATCACTGAAGAGAGAAGTGAGAGCCCCTTGCAGGCCTATGAACTGTTCACTGTCCTATGACCCACTAACACCCCAGTGTGCTGTCACGGTCTGTCTGCCCTTCTGGTTACAGCCCTGTTCCCCCATTAGCTACATGGGTAGGCATATGGCCCAGGCCTGGCCACTCAGACTGTCCCTATCCCCCAGCGACAATGACTGTCCCAATTAGAGTCCTTCCCTTGGATTGATACATAGATCCTAGAAGAAAAATAGTTCCTTTTTTCTGTCTGGGCGGCTAAGTTGGGGTAGTGGACAGAGAGTTCCTAATAAGAGGAGAGACAGCAGTGGTGGGAGAAAGATGGAGAGCCCACTCGACTCCTCATCCTTCAGCTCCATGGACCGCCCCCGGATCCGTTAAAGTCCTTTTTTGGTTTAAGCCTCTTTGAGCTGAGTTTTTGTCACTTTATTTGCCCAATTATACAGGCCCTAACCTAGGTAAGGTGTATACTGGCCATGGGCAGGGCAGGGCAGAAGGGATAGTCTACAAAGCATGTTCTCAAGAATCACCCTGACCCAGGGGTCTTCAGACATTGCTTCCTGGAGCCCTGGGAATCTGCGCCTCCCCAAACACCCGTGGAACAAAAGGCAGTAAACGGGGGTGGCGGGGGGGGCAGCAAGATTCTGGATAAACTGCTGCCAATTCGACCACAGCAGTTTTGCTACAAAAGCTACGTACTGGGATTCTGCTGCCCCAAGAGATTTGAAATACCCTATTCTAATCGATTCTCAGAAGAGCATTAATAAGTAGCCAGCTGATGTGTCCATCCACAACATATAGAAGAGAACACTGAGGCCCAGTTCCGGGCTTGCAGGCCACATGATTTCCAGTGCTTCAGGCTCCCTGTGAAAATCTATCACTTCTCGCATTTCCTGTCTCCTCCAGTAACCTGATGGAGGTTAATACCTAGAGTCTCATCTTTCTTGGCTCTAACCCCCAGAGAGCTGCCTGCTTCTGAGCCTGGCTCCTCGGCGGGCTTCCCGAAGCTTGAGGAACTTGTAGAATATATATATGAGCCAACCTCCACCTCCCTTTACCACGCCCACACCCCCCCACACCCCAGGCGCACATACACTTCGTTCTCCCTCTCCCTGCCCAAATGCCAGGGAAAGACCAGCAGGCCCCCTCCTGGGAACTCCTAATCCACCTCCTCTCTCCTAGCTGTGCTGTGACTGTGGACAGAGGATTCCTTGTTCCCAGTGTTTCCTGCCCATAGATCTCCATGGGGCCCATGTGCTGGCAGGAAAGAGCCAAATCGTTCCTTTTAACTAGAGCTAAAGCCACCCCTTACCCCCCTCCACCCCCAGAGCAACATGCTCCCAGCTCTGCTTGGCATTTACTCTACCTGCCCGAGCTGGCTCAGTCCCACCTCGTCCCCATAGCCCTCGCTCCCTAGAGAGAGAGAAGACACACACACACACACACACACACACACACACACACACACACACACAC